GGAAGTGAGCAAAGACATCACTGGAATATGGAGGAAGAGGATTCTTGTTATCCTCGTGACAGAAATCTTGGCAGAATTTTGTCCTTCAGTTACGTGGAAAGCAGAATTTGTAAGCACTGAACTCGGATATATAGCTAAGGAGATTTTTGAACAAAGTGTTGAAGCTTCTGCCTGGCTTCTTCTTGCTACTTATAACAAAATGCAAGAGGAGGGGCTTCCCTGGTGGCGCAGTGGTTGAGAGTCCGCCTGCCGATGCAGGGGACGCAGGTTCGTGTCCCGGTCCGGGAAGATCCCACATGCCGCGGAGTGGCTGGGCGCGTGAGCCATGGCCGCTGAGCCTGCGCGTCCGGAGCCTGTGCTCCGCAACGGGAGAGGCCACAACAGTGAGAGGCCCGCGTACCGCAAATAAATAAATAAATAAATAAAAATAAACAAAATGCAAGAGGAGAGAAAATACATTGAGAGAAAAACTGTTAAAGAGAAAGAAACCAGGACCTGATGGTATTGAAAGGTCTCTGCCTATCCAAATGGCAAAAGATGTTAAAATTAAGAAATTTGCCATCAGGAGAGAATGATCTAGAAAAAGCTGAGGGTATGACGCTACAATCCTTTGCTGAAACCTGGGAAAGTTAACAAAAGATCAGAATTCTCATGTTAATTCAGGTTAATGGAAAAGGAAGGCAGGTTCAGTTCCCTAACCTCCACTAGTATCTGTTGTGTTGCTCCCAGAAGTGACTTAAGACTCCTTAAAATTTGATTAGGTCCTTTAAGCCACCCACGTAAACCTGCTGTTTAGATAAGAACAAAGTGCTTGCTATGAAAACACAGCTTCGAGGCAAATCTCTTTCCATTCCTTCCACTCCCTTTCAACCTTACTACTTTCCCTGTAATAGTTCTATATATAAATTCTGGAGTTATCACTGTTGGATTGTAGCAAGTTACTTGGTTCACATCCTTTGATATTATGACATTTTTAAAAATTGGAATATTTTGAACAAGTACATGGAGAGACTTAGACTGTCAAGGCTTTCAATTCTTAGATTGGAGAACTGGTTTAGGGGTTACCCGCATTACAGCATACGTCTGGGGTTCAAGTGAATGGTGAGTTCAGGTGCCAGAACTTGTGCTAGAATTATGGTCTGGCTTTCTAGGTCATCCTCCACGGCTAGCACAAATAACAGAGATAACTGAGAGCTAGATCTACTGTAGGTATGCACTTTTGCACATCTAGCTACCTTACAATAAGTTTTAGTATTTTGAATATCTATTTTTAAAATTTAGTTTGAATACTAAATTGATACATTTTTAAGCTTCACACCACTGTTTATTTAGGTCAGAGAGACTTCTTGGGAGTTACTATTTATAGACTGTTAAAGACCCCTCAGGCAATGTCCAGGCTGTTGCACGTGGACAGTTTCTTGAATTATAGCACAGAAACTTTAATACCTACCTCAGGAATGATAGGGGTCTTAAATAGGCAGTATATTTACTAAAGAAACCTAGAGTTTTCTTAGATTGCCAACCTTAGTAAGACAAGAAATGTCAGGGTGACAGAGTTTAAGCGGCTCTTTTCAGATATGTCACACTGATTGTCTATATTTAAGATGCAAAACAGCCTCCCAGGAACTATTTAATTAAGTGAAAGTGAATCTAGTCCCTTTGGAATCGAATGGTTCAGTGAGCAAATACATATCAGCAAGTGAAGGAAGCGGGGTAACTTATTATGTGCTTCATAGACACAGTGACGCTTTATAACCCCGTATCAAGGATCCTAAACAGCGATTGGTTGAGAAAATTATCAAACTGACTTTAAATTTCGGCAGGTACAAAATTGTCATGCAAAAGCCCAGGACAGTGTGCCACTCAGTCCTCAAAGAGAAAGAAATCCTGGATTTTCAAAGTCCCTTTGAAGGCTTTTAAGGTAAGACGGACCCAACTGATTTCTTTGGAAAGAAATTCAAATTTCAGAGAAGCCAACTCGATTTAAAAAAATGAATAACCCTTATGATTAGACATTGTCCTTCCCTTTTGACTTGTCAAATTAAAATTATGTTTTAAAAGATAATGGAAAATTATGTGGTAAGTGGTGCTGATTCCACCTAGCAAAATATTGCATCACTGAAGAATCAGATTTGTTTTCCACAGCCATTATGTTAAAATGTCAGTTGCTAACAGTCAGGAAAAGTATATGTAAGATGAAGCACATATTTTATATCTAAAATATTAACAACGGAATGAGTGATTAGAATATTTTATGCATAATTCACTAAAGCTCCATTACTGTTATTTTTATGCAGAAAACCCATCTCTTTCAAGTAGTAACATTTAAACACTGACTGTATTAAGAAATGAACATGGATTTAGGAATTTGATTTAACACATTATGTTACATTTATTTCAAAGTTTGGCTAATCTAGTCAGTAATAAACTCTATGAGGGTAGGACTCATATCTGTTCCCAGGGTTCAGTATCTGGCCCACATTAGGCCTTCAAATGTTTGTTGAATGAATCTCAGTTTACATTTAATTTTTTGGTCCCTGAAAAATCAACCTTTGGCCTAAAATAATAATAATAATAAATTGTTATTATTATTATTTTACCAATTGACATTAGGGTTTTAAAACTAGATTAAAATACTTCTGCTTAGGATATCTGGAGAGTCTGACTTCTTTCACACACTTTTTCTGTTTCATGATATAATGATAGGTTTGGAAAATAAAAGACATGTTACTAAAAAAATGGTAAACAGAGGTAGAAACCTTGTAATTATCTGGGTGCTTTTATAAGTTTTGATAACAAATTAGATAACCAGATATAAATAACTACCTTGGGCTTTGAAACAGGGCTTTATTTAAGCTTTGCTTTTCAAGGTTTTATTAACTTGTTCAAATTAAGTAAAATCTCATTTTGTTTGTGATAATACATAAAATAATCTGAAGGGGGTTCACACAATTCTGAAGCCTCTGCTTTCAGACTGACAAAACGGAGGCCATTTCTATAGTAGCCTTTCAAGCCATTTCCCTACCTGTGGACACAGTGGCAAGTAGCGTCGTGCATTGTGCAACTGTTCTGGAGTAGATCTGAAAGAGAGCTAAAGTGGTCAGACTGCTGGATTGCAGTTCAGAAATGGGATGCACATAACTCTGTCCTTCACTATAAGTTCCTTTCCAGGATACCGTGTTTCCTCCAAATCACAGTGTAGGCTGGTCTTCTGCAGAGTCTCTGTAATAATTAGGTTTGGGACTGCAAAGTACAGTATAACCTCTGCTTACTAAACAGCTGCCCTTCCACATCTATGCCCCAGAGCTCTGCATTATAGTGTCCTGAGGTCACATCAGCCTCGTTTTTAACCTATAGCATTTTTGAAAGAGGTCTAGCTATTCTTGGCTTTCTGTTGAACAGCTATAAGAGTAAGCACATTTTTTTCCCCTCTCAATAGCTCTGGAACTGGGTCCTCTCTCCTGTGAAAATGCCAATACTTCTAGGACAGTCGATATTCACTGCGGTTTTATTATGCTTCCACTATCAACATTAAATTCAATCAAGGCTATCTTATGACATACAATATTATAATCTATAAATCCAGTAGGAGTGCATGCAATAGAAGTAAAATTCCTCCTTCCTTTCTATAGTAATAGCATCATTATATCAAGAAATCCAATTTGCAGTAAATAGCGGTTTAAAATTTTGATTCTCATGAACTCAATGTCTATCCCAAAGTATCAAAAATGTACATTAGATCGTTTCTGAATGTGGATTCTAACAGGAATGAAGGATCATGTTTTTAGAAGTCCCACATAATAATCGCTATCATTTATTGAGACTGTTAAATACCCGGAACAGTGCTACACGTTGCTTAGAGTAATAAGTATATATTCATCATCAACATTCACAAAAGAGCTTTTTCTGTGCTATGGTTTGGAATACAGTGATCACCAAGACACTCTCCTGGACCTCAGGAGCTCTCAGTAGAGTGGGGGAACATATAAGTAGCCACCAGGCTACGTTAAAACAGTGAAAACTGTGCAGCGCTACTAGCAAGGTGTGCAGAAGCTCCTGGGTGTAAAGGGGAGAGAGACAGCAAACGCCCTTTGACATGGAGTCAGAGAATGTTTCTCAGAGAAAATTCTTCTGCTAAGATAATTGGGATAATCCTGAAGTGCAGGTATTCTTATTATCCCAGACCGAGGAATCAAATGCTTAAGAAAGCTACTTAAATTCTTCAAGCTCGCACATCAGGTAGCAAAGATAGAATTGGAACCCAGGTCTCTGAATCCAAACTCCATGTTCTTTCATCTTCATGCTAGTAACTTCTTTTCTGTACAGTCTAGCCAGCCCAGTAGTGTGGCTTTGGGGGTGGGGATGATAAACACAATCTTTTAAGCACAATCTTAGCAGAATTAGTTAATCCTTGATTAAAACTATTCAGAAGACACATTATTGCCATCAGGAACAACAGAAGGAGAAAGTTATAGTTATGGTTTTTGTAACTGCCTGGCTGTACCCCTTCATTAGCAAAGGCAGAAAAAGTCTAGGTAGCGCCATCAGTACTGAGCTGGATGACGCCATTGTACGTCACTGTGACTCCAGGTGTGTTCTGGAACACTGAGTCGTTTTTTTTTTTTTTCTCTGTACGCGGGCCTCTCACTGCTGTGGCCTCTCCCGTTGCGGAGCACAGGCTCCGGACGCCCAGGCTCAGCGGCCATGGCTCACGGGCCCAGCCGCTCCACGGCATGTGGGATCTTCCCGGACCGGGGCACGAACCCGTGTCCCCTGCATCGGCAGGCGGACTCTCAACCACTGCGCCACCAGGGAAGCCCAGGAACGCTGAGTCTTGACAGCTTCTTCTGATGTTGGATCCATACTCCTTGCCCAGGAAAAACGCAGATGCTTACAGACCAAAATAATACGTTATATGGTTATCATATTTTGCTCTATAAGTAATTTTGTGCTGTTCTTTTTTCTTCAAAAACAGCCACTGATTAATATTTCTAAAGGAAATGAAGATAATTATATATTTTTGCATTTGGACAGTAGCATGGGCCATTCCAGTAAGTATGCCTCCCTCAAAAAACCCTTCTTACTTTGTTATCTTTTTTAAGCTAACATATATATAAATATATAAATATATAAAAGTATATATATATATATATATACTTTTTTTTTTCTTGAGACCTTGTCGATCAGCTGAATCTAAACTTTTAGATTTACATGAAAGACTTTACAAGATATATTTGGGGTCTCAACAAAACCAAATAGGCACTCCAATTCATGCTCCCGTTCTTCTAATTGAAACTCCTGTCTTGTTGGAAGGATTATTTCTTTTAAAATTCACTCAGATTCATTTATATTTAATGCTTAGAAGTCATGGAGACTGTCCATCTTTGCTAACACCCTATGAGTTTCATTCTAATATCAACAAAGCCTGTATTGTTTAGGAAGATTTCAAGAAAGAAAAGTAGGAAAAAAATCACGTGTTTTTTCAATGAAGGGAAAACTGATGTTTCACTCAGAAAGTTAAATTTGGAATATACAGATGAATACCAACAAAGAAAAATTAGGAAAATTAAACCATTTGTAATTTTATTAGCCAGCTGCTATGGTTAACATTTTGATATGTTTTCATAATACCAAATACTTTGGTGTTTCTGTAGTTGAGAATTTTCTCAACTGTTTTCATTGTGCTCCTGAAGGGCACAGAAGTAGCAAAGTACTTGCCTTTGCTTCCTCCCTGGCTCTGGTCACACCTACTATTTTCTTAGGGGTTTTGGCCAGGATTATACTTAATGTGGGTCCGGTGCTATTGCAAGAAGCATCATATAGAAATATCAAAGGTCTCTCTCTTCATTTTTATAAAAGACTATTCCCTTTCTACAGTTAAGTGATCTGGTTAATACTTCAATAAAATTGGGAATACTGCCAAGTTTAAATTCTACATAAGCCCTATAACAAGCCACTTCTCTTTTCTACCCAGTTAGATCATACTTTGACCGTTGTGTTATATCTTTTTTTCTTCATTTGGAGAAAAATGTGTGTGTGTGTGTGTGTGTGTGTGCGCGCATGTGTGGGCACACATGTGCACAAAACAAGAATGTTTTCAATTTCCAGTATTTTCACTTTGGTAGGTTCCTCAAATCAAGCCATTGGAGAGACATGCTGTTGACAAATCTGTGAATTTAAATCTTCTAGCAAAATTGAAAGTGCCAATACAGGTATAGGATGTAAAATGTGTTTCTAAGTTGTTTTTAGATTCCACTAACTTCCAAAAAATTGATGCTCATCTTTTCAGTTTGCTTTACTTTAAGTTGGTATCCACAATTTATTTTGCATTGTTTCTCTTTTCCAGGATGAGTTAAATGCCAATGATACCACCAAAGAAAGTGGTGTCCTCCTGCATGAAAATGAAAGAGGAAGGCAACAGTACACCAAAGACGGTTACAAAGGAGAGAGAAATGGTTCTGAGGGGGCAGAAGTGGGAGAGAAAAGTTCTTCTACAAGTTCCATGTTAGCAAATGAAGAGGGGAATACTGAGGATCTGAATGGGGGCACAGGAAAACCAGAAACATATGGTCATGATGGGCTCCATCAAGAAGACAGCACCACAGCAAATGGCATCAGGGGACAAGTAAGCATCATCGACAGTGCTGGAACAGCAAATGGGAGCAATATTAGTGGGATTACTGAGAACAATTCCCAAAATGGGGGTGCTGGAAATGCAAGTCAGAGTGAAGATGCCACTGTTGTCCAAGAAGATGGACATCAAGTAGCTGGAAGCAATAATGGTACAGGTCACGAGGATGAAATAAGTGGGAATTTCTGTAGAAATGGGGGTGATACAAGTGAAGAAACACCTCAGAGAGAAGGCGAGAGCAACGGGAATAAGGAGACAGGGGTAACACCAGGGGAAAGTGGAGATAGCAATAGAGAAGATGTTGCCTTGGACAATTCTGATGGAAGACTTAGTGGGAATGGAGCAGATGAAAATGAAGACAAGGGCTCTGGTGATGATGAAGGTGAAGAGACAGGGAATGGAGAAAAAGGTCCTGATAACAGCAAGGGCCAAGAGGGTCAACCTCATGAAACAGAAGGTGACGATGACAATAGCTTAGGTCAAAGTTCAATTAGTGGTGAAGCTGATGACCCTGCGGACAAAGAAGACACCCACGCCATTGACGGACACAACACCTCCAAGAGTGAGGATGATTTTGACGGTATTTCAGGAGACAACGGTAGCCAAAAAATAGAGGACACTCAAAAACACAATCACAGAGAAAGCAAAGCTGTGGAAAATGGAATCACTGAAAAATTAGAGCCACCTGCTATTGGGAAGAACCAAGTTAAGGTTAGTTTGTGAAGCTGGTTTCTTTCAAGGGCAGTTTAAATTCTCCCCTTCCTTCCATGATGGTAGCATGAAAATAAATCATGACAAATAGTCATGTATTTTTGCATCTAAATTACTTGAATATTTGATGGGAAAGCTAGAGTCCATACTAGACTTTGCTATAGAACAATTTTAAAAAGCAGAAATCTCTGAAAATTTGGTTATAATTCTTCAAAAGTCTTATGCTAAATAATTAACGCAGCACGTAACTGTTTATGAAAGCTCTTATTGGGTAAAAACACGAATGGGATGGTCTATAGTCTAAACACCAGAGTACTTTCAAGTACTGAATAAAGCACGTTTTCACAGGCAGATGTTTCTGAAGTACTGGAAGCTGAACTCCTGTTCTATGGCCACTTTCCCCAGTCAGTCTTCCTCAAACCATCGCAATTTTGTGGAATAACATTCACTAATTAATCATTCTTTTCTCCATCTTTCCATAGGGAATAGAAATGGAATGTCCCAGCAGTGGCAACAGAAACAATATTACCAAAGAAGCTGGGAAAATGAATGAAGATAAAGAGAGTAAAGGCCAACATGGAATGATTGTGGGCAAAGGAAATGTCAAGGCACAGGAAGAGGTTGACGTCATGCAGGGACCTGGCCGGAAATTAGAACCTCAAGATAAGTTTGGACCCAGCAAAACACGTAGTGACAGTCACAGCGATGGCTATGACAGTTATGAGTTTGGTGATGAATCCGTGCAAGGAGATGATCCCAACAGCAGTCATGAGTCTAATGGCAGTGATGGTACCAATTCTGAAGGCGACAACAACCACAGTAGCCGAGGAGATGCTTCTTATAACTCTGACGAATCAAGCGATAATGGCAATGCCAGTGACTCAAAAGGAGGAGAAGAAGGCGATAGTGCTAACACATCAGATGCTAACGATAGTGGTGGCGATGGCAATGGTGACATTGGCAGTGATAAGAATGGAAAATCAGGCAGCACCAAAGACAACTCAGACAGCAGCGACAGCAGCAATAGCAGCAACAGCAGCGACAGCGGTGACAGCGGTGACAGCGACAGCGGTGACAGCGGGAGTGGCAGCAAGAGCGAGTCTGGTAACGGCGACAGCAATGGAGGTGGTAGCGACAGTGATAGTGACAGTGAAGGTAGTGACAGCGATCACTCAACCAGGGGCGATGAGAACGAAAGAAAACTCCACCAGATTCCTTTTGTGAACAATCTGGTGAGTAACTGATAGGAAATAAAGATTGCTAAGAAAGTAAACAAAGGGGAGAAATAAAAGAGAAGACATATGTAAACAACAACAGAAACAACAAGAAAATAGTCAAATTGTCAGATTCAGAAGCAGGTCTGAACACCCTCAGAGAGAGAATCTGTGTACCCGCGTGTTAAATATATTCAGAAAAGATTTTGTTAGAAGTGTAAATGTAAACATAGAAGAATGATTAAAATATTCTTTAGTATTTTACACAGAAACCTCAAGTAATCACATACTAAATAACTTCAATTTAAATGCCAAGTGCTTTAGAGAATGTAGCAAGTAAACACATCTTAATGCCTTAATCTTTCAGTAATTATATATTCTGGATAGATGGTCTGCTTACCTCTGAGTAAAAGATGCTGTTACCATGATCTCCAGCTTGGCTACAATTCATCTGCTTGTCCTAAGGAAGAAATACACTTGCAACATGAAAAAAAAAAATCACAGCAACGATTTAACCTACCTGGACCATGGGAATAATCTTTGTAATTAGTGAATAGAGTAATTACAAATTATGGAAATTCTAAAGAGCGCTAAGCGGGAAAGAATTCAGAGGCTGGTTTAAACAAAACCTCATGTATAGTATCACATTCCTACAAAGTGCTGGAAATGGAGCATAACGTCCCCAAAACTACTGACAAAACTGAGGCAGTGCTTAGAACATGCTCCAGCTATTAATAAATAAACTCATGAACGAAGTGCTCTTGGAGGGGATGCACTTTTTGAACTCTCTGTTCAGACGTCTGCTAAGTGGAATCAGTTATTTGTCTTCCACCTCAGTCTCACCAAGCCAACTTGGTTCACATTTGCCTTTAAACCCCTACAAACCCAAAATTCCAAATCAGACTCTGAGACTTCCTTCTTATTTTAATCTCTTTAGTAAAGCCCACAGCTGCTTTGGAAACTACTCTCTTTTATCTGAGTCATACATGCTGCTAAAATCTGAACATGGGTTCTTCAGATTTTGCATGAATGAGGGTACTTCTTAGTTTTGAGATGAAGCCCTAACCCTAGAACATGAGGATCTTAAAGGTGTATGAAACTAGAGCGTGGTATTTAATAAGGTGGATATATCATTTATCCTCAAACTAGGATACCCTTGAGAATGAAAGGGCTGCTATGAATAATTACCTGGGGACTGGAGGTGTAAATTTGGCTTATCTGGGACTCTGGGAGATATAATGACCATAAGCATAAGCCTTTAGGGTATTATTCAAGATTTAGTAAGTGATGATTTGTAATATCTCTCTTCCACTTAGGTAATTATTTTAGATTTGTTCTAATTCAAAGGTAAAATTCTATACGGTGAAGTGTTGAATGCAACTTTTTAATGTTAATTTTCAGCCAGTCATTAGCCGACTGGTTGAAAATTTTATGCTCTATTATAGGGCATATTTACACAAAGAGTTTCAGTAGCTTTTTTTTTTCCTTCCTCCTTTATGCATTTCTTAGTTAAGAGATCAATATTGCAAGTAATATTGCTGAAGGCTTTCAAAATACTGCCATTTATAAACTACTTGGTAACTCCTAATACTGTAAAATTTCAAGTTTCTACTATATCATAATGATGTACATGACTCCAAACTTCTTTCCTTAAACTATGCTCTAGATTTGTAACTCCTTTAGCCCTTTTGTCTTTTTCCAATTTGTAAATTGTGGCTTCTAGTAACTGTCCTACCTATTTCAAAAGGTTGTTATGAGCTCTAAGTCAGGCAATGGATATGAAACTCTTTGTAAATTATATAATATATGTAAATGAAAGAGATAATGAATTTTGGTGCTATAATAAACATCTATTTCTAGGACTGTTCCCAAGGAAAACTCCCTTCATCTTAGTGAGTTTGCGAGTACTTACTTCCTCCAACATATTTTTTTAATTAGTTTTTTGGTTTTTTTTTTGTCCATGCTGTGCAGCGTGTGGGATCTTAGTTCCATGACCCTGGCAGTGAAAGCACTGAGTCCTAACCACTAGACTGCCAGGGAATTCCCTAAAATAAGTTAATTTTTTAATTGAAAAAGTAATATTATATATACACAAAATAAAAATTTCAAACACTATGAAAAGGTAGGCAAAAATATTAAATCTCTATCATCCCAGATTCCCAGTCTTCTATTTCTCTTCCTTAGAGGCAATTCCCATTACTAATATCTTGTGGAAATTTCCAGAAATATTCTATGCACATATAAGCACGTATATCCCCCTTTTAAAAACACATGGAAGTCTACTACACACAGTGTGCTTAACTTACTCTTTTTAACCTAAAACTATACCTTGAATATTGGTTCGTTACACACAGATTGACGTTCTTTTTTCAAAGCTGTGTCGTATTTTATTTTATGAAATGCCTTAGGTATTTAACCTGTCCCTATTTTTTGATCACTTTCCATTTCTAGTCCAATGAGAGTCTCTGCAGGTGTCACCTGAGTCAAGTGGGATAAATTTCCTGCCAGTTCTTATAAAGACTTCACCTTAAAAAGTATTTCTGGGGCAGGGGAGAGGAGACGTTCAGAATCTAGGGCCGATGTCAGAAGCCATGAAGGAACACTATGACCCTGACCTTCCACTGTAATATCTTCGTTGACCTCCGTCCGTAACTTCAAGGTGAAAATTAAGGAGACACTCCCAAGGAACGTCTCAAGGGTAGATCCTTTGAACACAAGAAGTCTGGTATTAGAAAATAAAATTGCTTTTAGGTTATTTTCTGGACTGAAGATTAATGAAGAAACTGCTAATATTGCCCATGAGAGTAGTATTTTTTTTAAACTGCAGGTTGCCACTCATTTAATAGGTCATGATATCAGTTTAGTGACACATGACCAGCATTTTGTAAAATGAAAGAAGAAAAAAGAAAAATCTTTAGTGTATAATGTGTAGTGTCTTATGAAACGGTGTTATTTCTCTATATATACATACATACACAAATATGTCTAAGTATGCATATACTCTTGGTTGCAGTAAGAAAAAGATGTGAAAGCCATTGGTTTAGAAAAGGGTTATAAAACATTATTACTGCTAGTAATCATTTACTTTTGTCATCTTTTTTTAACATCTTTATTGGAGTATAATTGCTTTACAATGGTGTGTTAGTTTCTGCTGTATAACAAAGTGATCCAGCTGTACATTACATTTACTTTTCACATTCACTTTTCTCCTTACAAATCTCTGTTTCTTTCCCACTTTAAAAAAATTTATTTATTTATTTTGGCTGCGTTGGGTCTTCGTTGCTGCGTGCGGGCTTTCTCTAGTTGCGGCAAGCGGGGGCTACTCTTCCTTGCGGTGCGCGGGCTTCTCATTGCGGTGGCTTCTCTTGTTGTGGAGCACGGGCTCCAGGCGCGCAGGCTTCAGTAGTTGTGGTTCGTGGGCTCTAGGCACACAGGCTCAGTAGTTGTGGCGCACGGGCTTAGTTGCTCCGCAGCATGTGGGATCTTACCAGACCAGGGGTCAAACCCGTGTCCCCTGCATTGGCAGGCGGATTCTTAACCACTGCACCACCAGGGAAGTCCAAAATCTATTTTCTAAAATAGATTATAAAAAGATAACCTCTAGAGAATCCATACCTCATCATATAAATACATTTTAAATTATTAATTGGAATAGAATTTCCCAGAAGTCAAACTTGCTTTATGGTTTGTAATGGAAGTTCTGAAAAACTTGAGACCAAAATAACTAGCAACAATTTTCCTCTCCCTAAAAGGAACAGGAACAGAATAGAATAGCTCAGTTCACAGATGAAAATATCA